ACCCTGCCTGACAGAGTAGAAGTATCTCACTGACTGCTCTAAGGACTTCTGGGGTCCAGTCGGTTTGTCAGGTGGAATGGGCACCAACTGTTCATTACCACAAGTTGACCTTGGAACTGTAACTAAGAGGGTACAAAAGAAGAATTGATAGACGTACAACAGGAGGAGTTAGGAGAGCACATACCCAGTTCCGCCAGCAGATAATCCACTGCTACTCAGTGGTCCATGACCATGCTGGCTAGGGAGTCTGTTGAGGTTTTCCCGGAAGGAGCAACCTGTGAGGGGAAAAGTGATAGGAAGAAAAAGGGCTTGGCCATCCATCGTAAGGCCTGAGCTGACTGGCTAAAACCTACTCCCAGCAGGGATAACGCAGTTCTCTTCTGATTGTGGGGATGGATTCCCAATAGAGAGATATACAAGGAAGTGGCAGTCCAGAATTATCCCTCCCATGATAAGCCCCACTTACCTGGTGGTGGTTTCTTCTTATACAGGAACTGAGCCCTTCCTCAGGCCCATAGATGCAGTGATGCTCTAAAGTAGGTGGGTCCTCCTCAGGCTTTGTGTCAGATCCTTAGTTCAGAGATCAGCCCAGAGAATTCTCCTCACCCACCCACATGGTCTCAGAAACTGAGGAACCCAAATTGACAGTTCAGACAACAGCCTGTTGATACATGAGGCTGGGGGAGCTGGTATTTGGGTCAGCTGATGGGCTGAAAATCCCACAAACTAGAGTTTAGATGTCATGAGCCAGGTCCAGGGTAAGAGTGGATGATAACTGCCAAACCACCGAGGACCTACCTGGTCCATTCAAGTTGACACAAAACCTAAAGGCCACACGGAGCTACTTGTTCTTGTTTTCTGTGTGCATCTTTCTCTGTGACCTTGAATGGGGCTCCCTGCAACTTCACAGTGTAGATGGGGGATGCTGCCCATCTGGTGGCTCACCACCATTAGACTCCTATCTTCATGGTCTTCAGTGCTTCAAGAGTTCAGTCTCAGTTTTCAGTGAGTAAGTAGTACCCTGCTAAGCTTTCTCTGCTCCCCAAGGAGAGTAGAAATCTTTGAGGACTGAAATCTGAGTTGCAGGTTATGTATGTAATTAAATACACAGGTGTTTTTCTTTGTTGGAAATAGAAACAACAATGAACCACGTGGTCACTGGGGAAGCCCTCTCTAAAATAATTTGTGTGTATATGTGGTGGTGATGCTTATATGCTGTAGAATCGGTTCCAACTCATAACAACTCTGTATAGGGTTTTCGAGGCTGTAAATCTTTACAAGAGCAGAAAGCCTCATCTTTCTCCCACGGAACAGCTGATAGTTTCGAACTCTGACCTTGAGGTTAGCAGCCCGACTCATAATCACTATGCTACCAGAGTTCCTTTTAAACATAATATTCAGCTTTTTAATCATTTTAATGGGGTTATTCTGGTATGACACTGTAGGATTAAACACTGGCCTGCTCACCACAAGGGTAACTATTTATTAGGAACCCCTATGTATCAGACTGAATGGACATTTAGCAGCAACATTATATGAATATTAAATTATTATGCTAATATTAGGGAGTCCTGGTGTGGCGCTGTGGTTAATGCACTAGACTGCAAGGTAGGTTTGAACTGCAAGGTCGGTGGTTCAAGCTCATCAGCTGCGCCTTGGACTTGACAGCATTTAACAACAATGGTAATACTCAATTTTATGTCAATATTGAAGAGGAATCTCAAAGGTTGACTTAATAAAATTTTTTGCACAAATAGAATGGAAATCATATCTTCTTAACATTGCTCTTTCCTTAATTATATCATGTTTCTGAGGCAGGTGTGAATTTCAGAATCTCTAGGGGGCGTGGCTCACATAATAGTAATTGCATTTTCTGTGTTGAGACTGAATGAATCCCTAATTTAAATTCTAATGCCTGCCTCTGAGTAAATTCAGTACTCTCTTCCAGTCTTTTAATCCTTTTCCTGTTTACTTGGTACATCTAAATTAATGCAGACAATAGGAATAAAACAAGGAATTAGACTGATAAATAATACACTAAACTTTCACTGCTCTGGATGTTTAGGTAGATTTACACCATGTTTGGAAAAGGCAGTACCATTGTAGTTTCCAGGTTGTAATTCTAGTGTATCTTCTTTGATGGGTGTTTGGGGGAAGGTAAATCCAAACTAACAACTGCGGGAGTTAGGGTTTCCATCCCTACTTCTCTGATACCGATTTTAGCTAGTTTGTAGTTGGCCCAAATGTATGGTGTTGTTATTGTTAAGTGTTACCGAGTCAATTCTGACTCATAGTGACTGACCCTGTGTAGGGTTTCCGATGAGTGTCTGGTGGGGTTGAACTTCCAACCTTGCTATTCAAACCAACTTTTCAGTCCAGTGCATTATCCTGTAGCGCCACACCAGTCCATAATTACAGTCCTAAAATATTGACTCTTTAGTTCTTATAAAAAACCTTCATAATGTTTTTTATAATCTCTCCCCAATTATCTTGAAGTTGTGTCTGTGTCCTGGACTAAATGGTCTTTCAGGTTTTATCTAACATTGGATATATCACATTGCTAACTACTTTTTACAGTTGTGAAACCTAGTTCCTTTTGTGAAGACAAAAACTCCATGCTTTTTGAATGAAAGAGCTCACCACAAGGTAGCTGTTCCTTAAAATATTGAAAGAGCTGCATCATAATCAGGGTGAGAGGAAGGGAACACACTCACAGGCCTCTCCCCAGACAGACAAAAACAACCAAATTGTACAGTAAAAATTTCAAAAATAGGGGGAGGGGAAATCCAAACATACGAAGGCAGATTTTCTTGCAAACAACTTTAAATTGGAAAAATTAAGTGTTTGCTATTTTATGCAGCAACTTTGGAGTCTTGCAATGAATGAACTGCCTTTTAACTCTCAAGAGTTACCAGAATGCACCTGTGTGATGGCTACAACTTTAATAGTGTGAGCATGAATGAGCTCTTAGTTTTCTGAGCACAGGTGACTTCTTCAGAACCTGTTTACAGTGGGCTTTTTGGCTGCTGCTTCTTGAAACTAGCATGTTTTGGATGTTCTTGTAGAAAGGTGTACCTTTCTTGATAGGACAATACAGTTCTGATTATTTTTTGTTATTTGTGTTTAGGGAAATTTAGGTTAAATTAACTTCAGTAGTAGAGCCTTCAAAATTAAACTTAAAACACTTTTTCTTTTTAAATGTAGTACCTACAGAACATCTAGTCCTTGTCCTTGTTGATTTAAAAATGACATAATATTCTAGCATAATATAAGAAGACATTGTTTTGTTAGCTGTAATATATACATATTGGATTTGTCTTTGTTGTGCTATAAACAGGGTAAAATCAAGGTTAAAATATTGAAATTCTCTCTAAGATTTTTTTTTTTTTTAACTTAGTAGTCATGGGTCAACATACAAAAATGCTGTAAGGTCGTTATTTTCCTGTCAGCAGTGTATTATTCAGAGTCTTGTACTTAATGGACTTCTACTCATGTCCATTTGGTGTTCAGAATCAGAGACCTAAGTTTATATGGCAGAAGTGTGGTAATGCACTTTGTTTTTGAAATGATGGTTTTATATGATTTTCCTAATACATGATAAATGGGATTTGATGGTTCATTTTGACTTAAATCTAGATGTGTTTTTTATGTATTCCAAAAGGTGGAAAATGTGCCCATCTGCTCTGAGGCATACTTTGTCTCCCCACACTTGAACAGCTCTGAACATGACAAGTGCCATCAAATCGGGGTTGTGTCGTGGCTTCATGGAAGCTTGTTTTTTTCAAACTTGGTGCTGAATAAAACTAATGGTGCATCTTACAATCGTTCATAATCCATGCTTGATAAAAAGTAGTTGACTTGTTGATGCTTATGGAAATTATTATACCCTTGTAATTTTTTATTTTGATGTGTAATATATTTTGTGGTGAAAAATTCTGACTGATGGCAGTCTCTGAGCTTCCTGACAATGAGTTCTCTAGAGCAATTTATCCATGTGGTGAGCCGCTGAGCTGCAGGAGACTGTGCTGCTGGCCTGCAAGCTCGGTGGTTTACACCTACCAGTTGCTCCTCAGAAACCATACACAAGGTCACTATGGGTCAGAACTGACTTAGCAACAACAACAGTCATGCTGTGTTTTAGTTACTTTGCATTTAAAAGCCTCACAAAGCATATTTGGCTAGTATACTGTACTTTTAAAAACAAGGTTCTTATAAAAATTAGAATTTAACATATAATACTATTTTAATGAAATTTTCTGATATAAAACATGAATTGATTTCATTTGATTCTCAAAAGGGCTTCTGCTTTATAAAGAAAATGACCGTAGGAATCTCATAAATACTTCTAGGGGTGTAAAACACACTGCAGGGCCTTCTGGAAGCAACCCTGCTTGCTCTCTGGAATAGGCCTGACCTTGCCATGGAAAAGGATTATGAAAATAATTACTGCATCTAATTTTCTAGAAATCGTTTTTTAACTCGACACTGAAGTTTCTTGCGTTAGGCAGTTTTCTGAAAGTTCATGTCCAGACTGATTTCTGTAATTCATTGAATTTTACCTTTGTGATTTAGTATTTTATATACTGTACTAGTATTTTATTTCCCTTATCTTTGCCACTGCATGACATTCTGAATAATCTCTTTTAATTACCTTGGGTACCAGATTAATAATGAATCCTAGAAAAAGGAAGATTTATTCCAAATACAGACTTAGAGTTAAAGTTTAAGAGCAGAGTCCCGTGGAAGTGGCTGGATTCTGTGCTGTTGTCCTTACTTACTGTAATGTAAAACAGGGTGTAAGCAGAGATGAGAGATGCTGGAGTACGCATCATTCATTGGTTTATGGGTTGTATTTAAAATACGAGTTCTGAATTGTTTGATTCATTTATGGAAAAATTCTAAGTAAGCTGATCACTACCTTTTATAAATTAGCATTCACATAAATCTTTTAAAACTTGATGAGTAGTTTTCTTATCCTGAATGTATTTTTCTCTCCTCAGAGGATGTACTGAGTAAAGATGCTGGGGAATGTGCAATATGCCTGGAAGAGCTGCAGCAGGGAGACACTATAGCACGGCTGCCTTGTCTATGCATATATCATAAAGGGTAAGTGTGCTCTCTGGTAACCAAGCTTGACATTAGAGTGTTCTCACAGTTTCAAACATTATCCTTCAGGCTGTAAAAGTTTATTTATCTTCACTGAATCTCCCCGTTACCTGGCCTTCCCCCCCCCCCCCCCCCCCCCAGATAATGTCGTTTATTCCTGTTGGATTGAACATTGAGCCCACATCTGTTTGTACCCACCAAGCTTCTGTAAGTAGATTACCTCAGGAAAGCCTTGTAACAACCTAATTTTACAGTTGAGGGCATCTCTGCGTGGCCACATGTCTTGCAAGTCGCAGAGCTGAGGTTTTCAACCAGGTGTGTGATTTGGGAACCCATTTAGTATCCTCACAACAGTCTTAGCAACACTGGGAATTTTTTACATAAAAAAATAAAAGCTAAGGTAACCACTAAAAAATTTCTAACTTGTAAACCAATGAAAAGAATCAGGTGGATTGTTATTTAAAGGCAGGAAAAGAAGCATAGAGAAAGCAGAGTAAATGACACAAATAAGGGGGCCAAAGTGTATCACTAAATATAAATATGGTAAATGTAAGTAGAACACACCAGTTGCAAAAAAGACTGAAACATTGAGAGATGCTGTTTGATAAGCAATACATGTAAATATACACAGAAAACTACAAAAGTAAAAGGATCAAAAACTATATCCAGTGAGTGGAAACTAACATAATAAACTTTACATCGAAAACAAAAACTTTGTTTTAGGGACAAGGAAGATCACTGTATAGTGATAACAAGTGTAACTTACCAGGAAGGTAACAATTTTTTAAATTGTTTTTCTGTGCACATAATGACATGGTCCCAAATAAAATATTTATGGAACTATCAGAAGAAATGGACAAATAAGGGGAAATTTTGACACACCTTGCATTGAGCCAAGGAGATACAAACTAAATCAAAATAGAAAAATTGAGTAAAACCGTTTAAAAGTTTTATATGTGTTTTTTCAAGCATACATGAAGTCTTATAAATAATTGTTTATATACTAAGGCATAAAGTCATTTTTACTAAATTACAAAGAATTGTACTGCACATAACCCGTTGTCTTGGTTGACGTTGTTAGAATCAGTAATAAATACTAATGGATGAATAAAGAAACAACTCATGGATCAATGAAGAAACCCTATGGAACTTTGAAATTACTGGGAGCTGAATATAATGAAAATATCTGCCTATCAGAACTCCTTGAGATGTGCCTAGAGTGATCCTTGGAAGGAAATGTACAGCCTTAAACGTTAGTGTTGAATGGAATGGAGAAACTGGGAATCAATAAGCCAGACTTCTCAGTTAATATGTTAGGAAAAAAACAGCAGAATAAACACAAAATAACAGTAGGAAGAAAATCCAGAACAGAAGATAACAAAATAAAAAATGACGCATAATAGTAGAGATCAACAAAGCCAAAATGAGGGAAATTCTGTAAAATAGAATTAAATATAAATGATTAAAAATGGAAATAATAAATCTGAATTGACTTACAACTATTTTAACTAATTAAGACTAACCTTGCAAAACAACCAATACCAAAAAATACAAAAGACAGTTTGACAGCAAGCTGTTTCAAGGAACTCTCAAGGAACACCACAAATATCCATCTTTAGTTGTCCCAACAAAGGGAAAAAGTGGGATAATTTCCCCAGTAGTCTTACCAAACTAGTATAAACTTGATAGCAAAATCAAACATGGACAGTACAGAAATGAAAACTAGAAATCATTCTTACTTGTGAACATAGATGCAAATATCTAAAAATAATTAGCATTCCAGATCCAACAATCCATATCTAAAAGAGTACCACATGACCAAATTGGATTTATGCTAGGAATGTAAAGATACAAGATTAGAAATTTTATTTTCATAAGTCACCATCCTAACAAACAGAAGGAGAAATAAATGTGGAAAAGCTTTTGGTAAAATTTTATACTTACGTATCGTTGTTGCTAAGTGCTGGCGAGTTGATTCCTACTCATAACAGCCATATATAGGGTTTCCAAGGATTGGCTGGTGGGTTTTTATTAATGGTTTTCAAACAAAAGCCATGAATGAATATTAAATAAATTATTAAAATGGATAGGAGCCATTCAGCAGGGTTTCCAAATAGGAAATCTACCTAATGATCAAATGCACTCCATAGCTCAGTAAGGAAAAAAATAAAAGATGTTTGTTTTGTTTTTTTAACTTTTTATTGTGAATTGGGTAAAGATTTACAGAGCAGATTATCAGTTTTACATCCAACCAACCACACACTTTATTTCACTTTGTTGTGGTTAAGTGCTGTCAAGTCGGTTTCAACCCGTAGCAACCCTGTATAAGGTTTCCTAGGAGTAGCTGGTGAGCTTGAACTGCTGATCTTGTGGCTCAAACCGACTTGCAGTCCAGCACATTAACCTACAGTGCCACACCATGGTTTCAATCCCCTCCATGTACCAACAGTTAACAGTATTCACCTCTACTCACTTTCATTATTGCATTTCGCCTTGTGGCTCCTGCTACTTTCATATTTCCTTTGCTAACCTCCCTCTTGTCTAGTGCCTGCCTTGTCACCCATGTTAATATGTGTCTGCCTTCTAACCTGTGAATAATTTGTGCCTCCCCCCGCCCCCAGCCATCATGGATTGCTTCTTGTATTAAGAAAACCTTTCCTTAACTTTTTACAACATTGGTCTCATAATACCTGTCCTTGTTTGATTGACTAATTTCACTCGGCATAATGTCTTCCAGGTTCAGCCATGTTGTGAAGTGTTTCATAGATCTTATTCTTCAGCATTTTGTAACAGTCCATTGTGTGTATGTGCTAAAGTTTATTCAGCCATTCTTCTGTTGATGGCCAATTAGGCTGTCTCCTTGTATGTCTCACCAACCTGTGGCTAGCAGTCTAGTGCTAGTGCTTATCCTACAGTGCCACACCAGGACCTCAGAAAGGCTGCATTCCATTGCATAGTAGCTCTTAGAGCCTAGACTCTGGAGCCAAAATCCCTGAGATTTGGATCCTAGTTCTTCCACTAATTTTCTACGTGACCTTGGTCAGTTTGATTAGCTTTTTTCTTTAGGTTAATCTGTAAGTAGGATAATATAGTACATACTTCATATACTTGCTCTGGGGATTTAAAGTTAAAATTTGGAAAGTACTCACACATAATAACACAGTAACAAAAAGCCAAATCTACTGCCATGGAGTGAATTCTGATTCTTAGCAGCATCCCTGTTACGTGGTTTCCAAGACTAAGTTACGGGAGTAGACAGCCTCATCTTTCTCACACAAAGCAGTTGGTGGATTTGAACCCACTGACCTTGCAGTTAGCAGCCCAACTTATAAAGTAAATGAATACAATTTCATTTTGCTAGAAGGTGGTATTATAGTGTAGTAGAAAAAGGATACTCTTTTTAATAATGGTGTTGAGGACAATTAGCCTAGCTATTGATAAGGGGGGAATGGAAACCCTATCTTGAATTTGAAATAAAAGTCACTTCCAGGTTGACTAAATACCTGCCTGTGTCCTGGAGTACTGGTGTGGCACTGTAGGATAAGCACTAGACTGCTGAACACAATATTTTCCATCCAAACCTACCAGCCACTCCTTGGAAACCCTATACAAGGACACGATGAGTCGGAACTGATTTGACAGCACTTCACAACAACATGTCCTGGAGTGGCTCTGTAGGTAGATAAGCCCTGGACTGATAACCACAAATTCAGTGGTTCAAACCATAGCCTCAGTCCTTCTTTAATCCACTTTCTGCCAAGTGAATTTCACTGTATTTTTTAAATTTACGGTGGAGTGCTTATGGTCCAGTGCTTATCCTACAGCATCACACCATCCTGTATTTACGGTCGAGTCCTGGTGTGGCATTGTAGGATAAGCACTGGACCATAAGGTTGATTTGAACCACAGAGGCAGTGGAACTCTGAAACTATACAGGGACGCTATGAGTCAGGACCAACTTGACAACACTTAACAACAGGAACATATTACAGTAAAATTAATTAGGAATGCAGCACATCTTTGTTCTGGTTACACAGTTGGCATTTGTGTGAGTGGTTTGCCTTTAACTTGATTTTCCCCATAAGCCGTATCACTGTACAGTTTTGAAGAAACTAAGGTATATCAGAAGCATATGATAGCTGAACTACCCAGATAAAAAAACCTCAAGCTCACTGCCATAGATAGAGTCAGTTCCAACTCACAGTGACCTTATATAGGGTTTCTGAAGCTGATAATCTTCATGAGAACAGAACTTCCTACAAATCTTTAAGGGAAATGTAAATCAAAATAGAAAGTTAACTGTCACTTAAAAGAAAATAAACCCCAAATGACCAATAAACATAAAGAATTACTCAATCTCACTTAGTACTTAGGGAAATGAAAACTGAAGCTGTCAAAAACTGTTTCAGAGTCTAAGTGTTAGTTAAGCTGTGAAGCGACAGAAACGCTGAGATGCTCCCATTGGACACTGACGTTCCTGTACTTGGCAGATACCTCTAGTAGTATGTGGTATGTAGGAACTAACCTGTGACTGATGGGGACCTCATGTGAGCAGAGCAGAGCTGCTCTAGACAATGTCCAGGGTTTGTCTTCCCAGGCACCTGTAGGTGGGGTGTGAGCTCCCTATCTTCAGCTAGTAGTTGAGTGCATAGTTACTTGTGCTACCCAGGGACACCTAGTACATATCCTACAGCCCAGAGGGTGCTTCAGAAAGTTCATGGAAAAATAGAATGAAAAGATAATGGAATTTTATCATGAACTTTTTGAAGCCCCATATATACTGTTGTTGTTAAGTAACATCATAGAAACCTTGTATAGTGTTTCTGAAGAGTGACTGGTGGGTTTGAACCATTTAGCAGTCCAGTGCTTACCCTACAGTGTCACACCAGGACTCCCCCCACAAATACGCCCTTGATCATGTCCTCTAGGACAGTGTTGTTAAGTGCCTTGAAGTCGGTTCTGACTCATAGAGATCCTGTATAGGGTTTCCAAGGAGCAGCTGGTGAGCTTGAACCTTGAACCTTGTGGTTCAAATCGACTTGACAGTCCCGTACATTAACTGACAGCACTACACCAGGACAATGCCACTCTTCAAAGTGAGTCTAGGAAGAGGAGAAGAGGACCTTGCATCTGAAGAATGTAAATTCATACAGTGCTTTCATCACTGAGAAAGTCTTGCTATGTAAGCAAAAAAAAAAGTCGAGCTAAATATGTATGTTTAGTGTTGAAGTTGATTATATTCTGGTGTAAGCAGCTTATCTTTTTTAAGATGGGTAATAAACAGCACGTGGACCAGCATTGCGACTGTTTGTGGACCATACTTCACATAGTCCTGCTGTGGTGCTTCAGGTTAAGCATTGAACTGCTAGCCCACAGGGTTGGTGGTTCAAACCCACCAGCTGGAAAACCCACCTACACAAGGCCGCTGTGAGTTGGAACCGACTCAAGGGCACTTAACAGCAGCAACAGCGTTCATAGCATCATTGAAAATGTCCATCAGTAAAAGAGTGAGTACATAATTTGTAGTGTATTTATATAATGAAAACAGGAAAGCAGCTTTACTTAGGAGCAATTATGAATCTCAGACAAACTGAGTGAAGAAAACAGGTTACAAAAATGTGGTAACATTTATGGTAAAGCATGGAAACAGTGCTATGTGGTATTTTGGAATACACACTGAAATAGCAGGACAGAGATGAGTCTTTCTTCTGCCACAAAGATGTAAAGCCTCAGAAACCCTATATAGGGTCCCTAAGAGTCAGAACCACTTACGGGCACTTGACAACAACTACAGCAACATAGTTACAGGTTTGGAAATAAAAAAGAATGAAAAGCACCAAATCTAGAACGTAATTTCCTGCTGCTGCTTTGGGGAGAAAGGAAAATAGTAAAAATTTAAATACCAATGAAAATAGTTTAGAATGGGACATGCAAATTTATTTGAAAAGATGAGGCATTTTAAATGGTTTCCCATGATGAATCAGAACTATGGTTGTAAATTGATAACGTGCCGGCACTATTTTATAAGTTCTCAGGACTTCATTTTAAAGTGCCTTCTGGTAGACCAAGACCTACTGTAGAGCCAGTCAGAATAGAGAGCAGGCTGAAAATGACGTTGTAACCCAAACCGAATGTTACTTTAAAGAACACAAGTCTTAGTGGCAGTAGATATTGGTTTAGATATTTTGAAAGACTATCATCTGAATGAGTTTACCTTTCTCCTTTTCAATTTCTTCTGTCCTTTTCACCTACCAGTCTAATCTGTCAAGATATAATGGTAATTCCGTGTAAACTATCACGTAATTCACAATTAAACATTAAAGAAAAAAAAAAGATATGATGGTAAATATTAATTTTGCCCTTGATCATATTAGCAATGACTTTTCTCTCTGTGGCATATGTGAATTTGTTACATCATCAATGAAAATGCTGAACAGTTTGAATCCTGCTTGGGTAATTTACTAATTGTTGGGTAAGTTACTTAACTTTTCAAGGCTTGATTTTACTAGTTGTGGAAGAGGACTTCCTGCAGTGATGGAAATGTTCTGTATCTGTATCTGTCCTGTCCTGAAATGTGGCTAGTGCCACAGAGATACTGAATTTTTTCTTTAGTTTCAATAACTTTAACTTCAGATAGCCACATGTGGCTCACGGTTACTATATTGGACAGCAGAGATCTAGAATAAGACCATGAAATGCTTTTATAAATTCAAGTGCATGTTGGTATATTTACTGATGAAGATCAAAGACCACAGCCTTCGGTATGGATTACATCTCAATGTAAAGAAAACAAAAACTCTCACCACTGGACCAATCAACATTCTTATCAAAGGAGAAAAGATTGAAGTTGTCAAGGACTTCATTCTTCTTGGATCAACTATCAACACTCATGAAAGCAGCCATCAAGAAATCAAACAACATATTGCATTAGGCAAATCTGCTGCACAAGACCTTTTTAAAGTGTTGAAAAGCAAAGATGTCAGCTTGAGCACGAAGGTGCGCCTAACCCAAGCCATGGTATTTTCTGTAAATTCATATGCTTGCGAAAGCTAGACAGTGAATAAGGAAGACCATAGAAGAATTGATGCTTTTGAGTTATAGTGTTGAAGGAGAATATTGAATGTGTATGGTCTGCCAAAAGAGCCAACAGATCTGTGTTGGAAGAAGTGCAGCCAGAGTGCTCCTTGGAGGCTACGCTGGCCAAACTTCATCTCTCATACTTTTGATATATTGTTGAGAGGGACCATTCGCTGGAGAAGGATATCATGTTTGGTAAAGTGGAGGGTCAGAGAAAAAGAGGAAGACTCCCAGCGAGATGGATTGGCAAAGTGGCAGCATTGATTGGCTCAAGCGTGGTAACAATTGTGAGGTTGGCCCAGGACCAGGCAGCGTTTCGTTCTGTTGTGCTTTGGGTCGCTATGAGTCAGTACCAACTCGATAGCACCAAACAACAACAATATATTTATTGCAGAGATGAGACAGAATTAAAATATTAAAGAATCACTTTTATAAATACAGTCTTTAATAAATGTGGTACATTATCAAGGATTAAAATTTTAAAGCTGCTTTTAATTACATTTTTGGTGGCATAAACCAGTGAATATTAATAACTTTGAAGAGAAATATTTGTCCAAACTTGTTATTTATTTTTAATTAATGGTAAAGTAATATTTCTTTTAAAACTATTATGGTATTGAATATGTTTAAAATATTTTAAAGCACAACATAATTTTACAAACCTGTCTTCCTTAACTGCTTATTGGAATAATCACCATCGAATAGACATGCACTCAGCCAGCTGACACTTGGCTCCTGTAAAGATTTAGTCTTGGCATCCCCATGGAGCGGTTCTCCCCTGTTCTATAGGGTCGCCACTAGTTGGAATTGACTTGATTGACAGTGGGTTTGGTTTTATGTTCGTTTTTTAAATATATGCCAATATGATAATAATATGGGATCTTTTTTTTTTTTTTTCCTGCAGAGGTATACTGAGAGTAAGAAGTAAGCATTTTTATTATGACTGTCATGATATTAAATAAGTAAAAGTATTTCAATTTTTCTCGTTTTGTTCCTTTCTAGCTGCATAGATGAATGGTTTGAAGTAAATAGATCTTGCCCTGAGCACCCTTCAGACTAAGCATCAGATTCCTGTTTCATAGGTAATCCTTCCTTTTTCTCTTTTCTTTGCTTTATGTTGTTGTTGTTGTTATGTGCCATGGAGTTGGTTCCGACTCATAGTGACCCTGTACAGGGTTTCCGAGGCCGTAAATCTTTACAGGAGCAGAAAGCCTGATCTTTCTCCCACGGAACAGCTGGTAGTTTCGAACTGCTGACCTTGAGGTTCACAACCCGATTCATAACCACTACACTACCAGAGCTCCTTCTTTGCTTTATAAAGTGTGGCAAATTACAAGTTCTCAGTCATATTTATTCATTGAGACTTTTGTGTGTATGTTTAAGACATTTAACTACTTTAGAAAAACTCATATTAAAAAATAAATTTTAAACTCTAGTTTTTTGATTCCTGAATGGGGTCATATATTTTAGTAACTTCTGTATTTGAGGTACTTTTAAACATACTAGTTTATTTCATTTTAACACTTAAAAAAACCATTGAGGCGCACATATGATGACCCCCTTTGACTAGTGAGAAACTTCCAGGTCAGAATAATTGCACTACTGTAAGAGGGACGTTACACGATCTTATTAGCAAGTGAAATTAATTCATTAGTATTTATATACATTGTTATGTGGCAAATGCTATTATAAGCATTTTGTATCTATTAACTCATTTGCTCTGCCACGCTTTGAACTCAGTACTCTCAACTCTCTCATTATGGATATGAGGAGTGTACACAGTCATTGTTGTGTGCCATCCATTTGGTTCTGACTTAGAGCAACCCTGTATAGTGTTTCCCAGAGCAGCTCTTAGGTTTGAATAGCTGACTTTGCAGTTAACGTTGTTAGCATAACAGTACTTATCATCCTACAGCAAGCACCACACATAATAGGTTAAGAAATTGGACTTCTCAAGGTCACATAACTAGTTCATTGGGACTGTTTTGCTATTGTTGTTGTTACGTGCTGTCAAGTTGGTTCCAACTCAGAGCGAATCCTGTTTAGGGTTCCCGAGAGGCAGCTGGTTTGTGTGAACTGTTGACCTTCAAACTGTTGGTTTGAAGTCCAGTGCTTATCCTACAGCGCCACACCAGGAGTCCTCTAAAAGTTGCACTATGGATTCATCCTTTCAGTTAAATCAGTCACCTTTGTATAAAAAACACACCAAATCCGTTGTCATTGAGTTAGTTCTGACTCATGGATAGTGAGCATATTATGTGGTGCCTGTCACTGAGTAGGAGGGAGAAAGATGAGGCTTTCTGTTCAGCAAGGATCTATAGTCTCAGAAACCCTACACAAGGTTGCTGTGAGTCAGAACCTACTCTACAGCACTTAACAACAATAACAACAGTTATTGAGTGGTGCCACCCCAACTCCAGGAAAAAAAAATTAATAGAATTTTAGAACTAGAGTAGAAATGTGTTTTGCTTTCCTGATAATGTTGCTTACTCCTGGTACTGCATTGATTGTATTGTCTGAACATGTTCAGTGAATTGAATGAATAATGCTATTTTACTTTGTTCCATGAAGCAAATTAAATGGCATTGTTTAACTAAAATAAGAGATTCACTTCATTGATGTCTCCCAATATATAAACAGTTTTCATGAGAAGACTGTTAGAGAAATGACTTAAAGCATTGGATTCTTCCATCAAGGCACAACAGTTTAGCCAATCCTGGAATGGTTTGAGAAGGAGCAAGAGCTTCTGTCTTCAGAGGCTCAATATACAGTAACGGCCCCTGATCTCTCCTGGATGCCTAAGGCGAAAGCCAGGGGATTCTACTGGATGATCATCGAGGACCACTTCTATACTGAAGGAGCCCTGGGGATGTAGTGGCTTAACACATTGGGCTGCTAACCACATGGTCAGTAGTTTGAACCCGCCAGCCACTCCACAAAAGAGTGATGAGACTTTTCTGCTCCCGTAAAGACTTACAGCCCCAGAAACCCTGTAAAGGGTTACTGTGAATTGGAACCAGCAGTCCAATACTGAGAGGAGCTCTGGTGGTGCAGTAGTTAAGTACTCCTCCTGGTAACCAAAAGGTTGACAGTTCAAGCCCACTGTGTGGCTTTGAGGTAAAAAGATATGCCACTCCTCTCCCATTAAAGATTATTGCTGTTAAGTACTATCAATTCAGTTCTGACTCATAGTGACCCTATGTAGGGTTTCTGAGGAGTGGCTGGTGAGTTTGAACCACTGACCTTGCAGTCCAGCACATTAACTCGCAGTGCCACACCATTACTCCAGCCTAGGAAATTCTATAGGGCAATTTTACGCTGTCATAAAGGGTTGCTGTGGGTCGGAATCGACTCAACAGCACACAACAGGCCAATATTTTTCCATTTCTTTTTTTTTTCCACTCCTGGTCTTAAATTTAGGAATACAGGTATTGAAATAAAAACACATTCAAGAAACAGTTTTGCTGTGAAGATGCATATAATTTAAGAACAACAGGTTAGAATATAGACAAAGAAGATTTGGGGTAACTTACTTAATAGCAGTTATCTGCAGACTGAGTGAGGCCTGTCTTCACGGTAGGGCTACGAATGTGAAATGTGAATGCCTTCATGAACAGTTAGCTAGTTGGAAGACTTGCAGCCACTGAGCTCTTTATGGGGAGGTCACTCAGATCATACCTCAGCACATTTCAAATAAGAATTGGGGCCAGAGTGCTGTGTAAGAGAAGGGTAGTGACGCAATGACACATGCATGTATGTTTTTATTTCACAATGAATGAAGTTCCTTAAAGGGGAGGATGCTTTGGAATAATTGCCTTCAGTGACATCATGTCTGAGCCATAAAGTAAAATGACATCTGAAATTACAGAAGCTTTTAAAGAGAAGTAAAAACCAATGTTAATTTGAAAAACCCACTGTATCTTACATACCAAAGTAATATATTTAAATCCTTCACCTAGATGTAAAACAAAAATTATCTTTTGAAGTCAGTAGACCACAGTGTAAGGAGCTCTGGTAGCATAGTGGTTGCGAGTTGGGCTGCTTAACCGCAAGGTCAGGAGTTCGAAACTACCAGCTGTTCCACGAGAGAAAGATGGGGCTTTCTACTTCCGTAAAGATTTACAGCCTCAGAAACCCTATGTAGGGCTGCTATGAATTGGAACTGACTCCACCACCACCACCAGACTTAAGTATGAGGTGGATTTTTTAGGGTATAAATTCTTCTTCTTTCATGGTCTAATGAGCTAATTTTTTTTTCCATGGTAGAAAGAAAGACCTTATGGAATTTATGGAACATGCATCTCAATCAACAGTTCCACCTCCTCCTGTTATGTGTCAATTTTATCTTGTTGGTTTTGGTTTTCTGTAGAACCTGAGTTTGAAACTAACCTAGTACCTGAGATAGCACACGTTGTCTACAGAAATATGAACCAGTGGGATCGGGATCTGAGGGCCTCGAGTCAACTTGTAAGCATGGAGTATCTTCATGCACATGTTTGCTTCTGCCCTGGCTACTTGCTCTTTGTTGTTTCTGTTGTTAAATGCCATCAAGTCGGTTCCGACTCATAGCAGCCTGGTATAGGGTTTCCAAGGAGCAGCTGGTGGGCTTGAACCACTGACCTGTCCGTTAACAGTCCAGTGCTTATCACCTACAGTGTCACATTTGCAAAATGATAGCCCTTTGTGTTCCTTTTGCTCTCCCACATTAAAAGTGTTTGGATTTTAGGTGGATTCAGTATTGTGAAGACACTGGGAATAAAAATTAAAAGAAAAGCAACTAATATATTGAGCAAAATCAGCACTTTTTGATATTTTAAGCATAAGAATTTAATGTTGTTGTTAAGTGCTGTTGAGTCTATACCTTCTCATAGTGAATCCTGAACAGGGTTTCCGAGGAGCGACTTTTAGTGAGTTTGAACCGCCAGCCTTGCAGTTAAAACCAACCTAATGGTCCAGTGCTTATCCTATACCAATCAATCCCAAAACAGAGATTCATTAATATCTAAGGTCTTGGGTAGTTTTTTTACTGTTACCAATTTGAGAGGTGTACTTATCGGGGAGGGGTTAAAAAGTTTGTGTGTTTTAAAGTCTGGTTTCTATACTTTGATGTAGAAAAAAATACTATTTTAATCTTGAATGGTTCCTTTGGTTTCCTTCGTTTGTTCTCCTGCAGAATTTTAATTTTATGAATTACTATAGAAAGCCTTCTAGTAGTAAGAGAATGGAAAATTATACAATAACTAAAATGTTCATGGGGAAATAGATATTTTATTAGTATGTGTCACTGCTTAAAACTAAATATATTTCTGTTTTTAAACAGGTTTTCTTGTCTTTTCAAGATGCTTGAAAAACCTAGAGGATATGAGGAGCTGTCTCTGGAAATACAAAACTGCAGTCATACTCAGCCAGAAAATCTGAGTTCTGTGAGACTCCAGAATACAGAGATGGACAATCATACAGGGGTGGGGAAAATCCCACTGAAAAGAGGCCATTTACCACAGAACTCTGTACCAAACATGCATATAAAGGACACACACAGGGATCTTGACAATGCTGCACACCCCTCAGTAGTCATCTACATAGCTAATGCTGATGAACATTTTATACTCAGATGCCAAAGTTAACTGATTTAAAAGTTGATTTACTTTTTATTAAGTTCTCTGGAGCTGCACAATTCGTTGTGTTTTGATTTCTTAGTTTGGAGGTCTTTTAATTTTCCCAATTTTTTTTTTCATTCATCTATTCTTAAATTAAAAACCACATAATTTGCTTTTTATAAATTAAAGTCTTAAATGTGAAACTACAAAGTGTAATCAAGCAGTAAAACATTCTAAATGCAGACCATAATCTCAAGTTCTTGCATTTCCCCTCCAAGAATGGAAAATAGATGCTACATAGGAAAATGAAGTGTGTTCGTATTTTAAAGTTAATGGTATTTAGCACTGTCAGAATGCAGTCCAAAGAGTAAATTAAGTTACATAACTGCATTTTAATTAACTAAATCTAGAATTAGCTACTCAATTGCAGTTTATTAAATACATTGTTTCCTCTTGAATAATA